TGAACTACTCCTTCTATCAGGCTGACCCTTTAGGATGAAACATCATGTCTTAACATGGTATCAGAGCAAAATCGATCCATGGTGTGGGCCCCTTATGAAAAATGATTGACACGATTATAAACAAAATGGCAATGACGAATTGACGAAAAAAAGAATGACGGCACGATCCAGACGAAGAGTCTGGTCGTGAGGAGGGGTGTTAAATTCCACACCAGAAATGTTTGGGTTAACGAAGTGTTATATTAAGACATGAACTATTCCTTCTATCAGGTTGACTTTTTAGGATGAAATATCATATCTTAACACGTATTGATAGAGTATAAGTTCTTTAAAGAGAAGTGAGAGCTAGAGAGAGAAAGAGCAATTAATATATCTCACCCCTACAACTACCCCCAAGAGGAGTATTTATAGGGAAAATATGAGTTGGGGCTCCCAAGCCTTGACACTGAGATAGACGAACGACCACTCGGCTAGTAGTTGAAGTGTGTTGTATACAGACCCTTGTTATCATTTAATAAGATACAGCCCACGTACTATTCTTGTTATTGACCCATCTTACTTGCTTGCATCATACATTCATAAAACTCCCTACTCGAAACCCATTGGAAACGTGTTGGGCCTTTGGGTTGAAGGGAATAAACCTCAACATATGGATTGCTTTATTTTCGGTGGCCAGTGAAATAGGAACAAATTCTACACTTGACTTCCTACTAGTGGCTGGGAAAACCGGGAAGTTTAATGGTTCATTTGATAATTATTGTGGCCATAACAAGAGAAGTCAATCGACTGGTAGAGTCTACATCTTTGCTGACTTAGCGTTTCAGCGTTTTCAGTTTGAATAGACCATTTTTATGTCTCATCTCATTGTAGGTTTGAACTATATGATTTTAATTCTTCTTGTTGTCATTATCAATAATAATTAAGTTATTTCCTTTAAAAAGGTTTATTTTGTTCATATCCAGTTTTTTAGTAATATTTTTTATAAGACATTTTTAGAAGTAATTACATATTAATGATTACCATAAAGATAGTTTATAAAAATGTGACATCTTATATGGAGTGAGTATAGTAGTAACTTAGTGATAGTAACTTATGTTTCACTTTTACACTTAACTTACCATGACACTATATTGTAATAACTATTAATCATATTTTTGTAAATGAATTTTATTTGAGTAACATTTTTGAAAACACTCATTTACATTACATAATAAGCGACATTAACATTATCATGAATTACTTATTAATTATCACCACATTTCACTAAAATGAAAAAGTGTAATACACATATCTTTACATCTTTGTGATAATAAGACAATCAAATGATCCCAATTAAAAGGAAATTAAAGTTATTAGATCCTCGAGCTCAAACTACTCCCAAACCTAAAAGTGACTAAAATTGGTGGAGTGAAGCCTAGCCGGGTAGGTAGTATCCCATATTTACACCTGCCCAAGTACGGAAATTATCATTGCATTATCATCAAAATATTTATTATGCTAATTTTAGTGAAATAAGCACTCGAAGTATACCCAAAAAATCAATTAAGCCCTCAAACAAAAACAAAACATTCAATTGAACCCATGAACTATATAAAAACGTTCAATTTTATAATTTAGCAAGTTGGTTGCCGGTTAACCGATCATTTGAAACAATAAATGTACACGTGTCAATCTTGCAACTTTTCATCTTATTTATAACTAGTAAACTCACCCGTGTGATGCACGGTCGGATTTTTTTTTTCAAATTTATTTGTGCACATTAATTCAAATACACTGTCAATTAATGACACCATCTGTCTCCAGTGAAATACTAATATAGATCAAAGCAATGAACGAAACACAATTATAATATTATGGTTAAAAAGAGAGTACTAGCCATTACTTAAAAGATAAAAAACATCCAACAAATACTTAGAAACCATAACATTGTAAATATGCATTTCATGTAAACCTAAACATTGTTGAACACTTCTATGTATACCACATTCTAAGTCTTGTTAGTGGTTCCTTCATCTTCATTAACAATTAGAATTTTCAAACCACAACAATTGGTAACCCTTGATACTGCAACATACAACTATCCGTGTGTAAATACCATTTTTTCAACAACAACCCAACACGGGACAAAGATTGACCTTGACTTTTATTTATAGTCACAGTGTATGAAGTCATATTATGATATTGTCGCCTATGAAATTTGAAAGGCAATGACAATCAAGGAATTAATACTTTAAATAAGTGAGTTAAATCCCTATATTAAAAAATAATGGTATTTAAGCACATTAATTTAAAAACACATTTAATCTAGCCACATTGATGCACCAAAGTTACAATCTAGTGGATGTTTCGCTCACTCTTTACTATGGATATAATGTCATGGTCATTTGATGTAAAAATTGAACATTATATCCATAGTAAAGAGTGAGCGAACCATCCAGTACCACGTAGAGTGAGCGAACCATCAAGTCAAATAATCTAGCCACATTATATCCGAGAAACTCCTTTGCACTCACTCTTTATTTCCCACCAATCTAGTTATATTTGGAAATGCACAATATTAGTACATTGTCCCTGACTACAACACAAAATCTTTTTTTTAAGAAATCGGACCGAGGAGTGAGCTGGACACGTGACTTTGGGCACTCCTGATAATTTTATGCTATTTAGGAATTCAGGTGTATGAAATTATGTCATAAGATCGGTCGTGGAGTCTACTTTACACACACTATCCGCACAGAGATACGTTCTTGCTACTTCGCCAACATTGAGACTCGTCAAGGAAATAGAGATCCTCTGTACAGGGCAAATGCAAAAACGTACTCCCTCCTTCCCAATTTTACATGTCTTACTTTCCTTTTTAGGTTGTACCAAAATAAGTGTCACATTTCCATTTTTGGAAAGAAATATGTGGTTCACAATATTTCACTTTATTATACTCAAATCTCAACCACAATTTTAACCTTTTCAACCATTTTATTAAATATTGTGCCAAAATCAAATGAGACACATAAAATGGGAGGGGTAGTAATTTCTATTTAGAACAAATAAAACTAACCCACCCATTTGCAGCCCTATCCATTATTTCAATAAGAAGCCCAACCACAACAACCCACCTTATTACTTCACCTTATTACTCCATACAATCCTTTTTCCATAGCCAACCCTTCATTTCTACTTGACCTCCCTTTTTTGCTATCCCAAACCTGATTTTGCTCCTCTCCATTAACTGGAATGGTCTAGAAGGAGAGAGATAGAGAGAGGTGGAGAAATGGTGAGGTAAGGAAAAAGAAAAGATTATGTTTAATTATTATTTTTAAGGAGAGAGATAAAGTGAAGAAGAAATGGAGAGTGTAAATGGAAAGAAGAAAATGGAGAGGAGTATGACCTTCCCAAACCAATTGCCAGCCATAACTCCCCACCACTCTATTTCTTCCATTCCAAATCAATTGCCACGCTTTTCTTCCCAACATTCCATTTCTTCCGTTCAAAATCAATCGGTCATACTTTTGTCGCGCCACCCAGATCCGACACCGATTCTCCGCCACCGTAATCAACCGCCTCACTGCCAGCCATGAATCAATCTACGGTAGTCCTCCTCCATCTCGTAAGCCTCGTCTGCCGCTCTAATCTCATTACAAACGGTAAGGATACACTCTGTGGCGGCGGGAAAATGGGAGACCCAAATGATGAGCTCCTGAAGTCGGCCGTTGATGTTTCTTAATGTGTCTAAGATCGGTGGCGGAAAGGATGTTGGCTGGTCGTGGCTTGCCTAGATGAAGATGGATGTTGGCAGCTTTATCTTGAATTGAATGGAAGAAGAAAGAAACCATTAAAAAAGAAAAAGAAGGGAATATATGAAAACCGCACATTATATGGTGCAACCAGGGCACACGAGATGGTGCGCCCTGTTGCAAAAACGACGCAACATCTCTTTTTTTTTGTTTTTGATTTTAAAAATGATAATAACTTTTAAATTTTTGATCTGATTTTTATAAAATTTATATCAACATTTTTTATTTTTCATGATCTTTCAAATGAGATCAATATTGTGTATGTAATTTTAAGAAATTATCGAACTATTATATTAATGAGTATTGGATTATAAGAAAAATCGAATCTGTTTGGGAGATGATAGGTTTGTGAAATAGAAGATCGAATCTGTTTGGGAGTGGATCAGTGACCTCAGTTACATTTGATAATACATTGAGTTACATCTTTTTATGAGCGAGTTACATCTTTTTATAAGCAAGTTACATCTTTTTATAAGCGAGTTACATCTTTTTATAAGCAAGTTACATCTTTTTATAAGCGAGTTACATATATATATACACACGAGTTGCATTTGACATGTCTGAACGTGACTTACATATATTTACACGTAAAGTTACATATTTTTACACGTAAAGTTACATATTTATACACGCGAGTTACATATTTATACACACGAGTTGCATGTGACCTGTCTGAATGCGAGTTACATATTTTTTACGTAAAGTTACATATTGTTACACGTAGAGATACATATTTATACACACGAGTTGCATTTGACTTGACTGAACGTGAGTTACATATTTTAACACTTAAAGTTACATATTTTACACACAAATGTTAATATGTTAAAATTACATAGGCAATATTGGTCTCATTTGAAAGGTCATGAAAAATAAAAAATGTTGATATAAATTTTATAAAAATCGGATCAAAAATAAAAAAGTTATTACCATTTTTAAAAAACAAAAGGAAAAAAAAATACAAAGCCGTCCCGGTATACGGTGCTCACCGTATACCGGTTGCCCGGTATACGCACTCTATGAAAACAGGCCACGTCAATTGCCACATTTGCAAATGACCGGTTAACCGGCAATCAACCCTCTAAATTATAAAATTGACTGTTTTTATATAGTTCATGCCTTCATGGGTTTAATTGAGTGTTTCTTTTGTTTGAGGGCTTAATTGACTTTTGGGGTATACTTTGAGCATATTTGACAATTTTCCCTTTATAATTTAATACCATTATTCATTGCTTTTCAATATTATACTCATTTCTTTTAACGTTAAATACTTGATTATACGGTGAGCATTGTACAATCAGATATACAGGGTACGCTTTTCCCCAATTACAGACAGTGACTAATGACCCTTATTGGAAGTGGTAGGACGAAGAGAGACCCATTCCAACTCGAGCTCCACCTCACCACACTCCACATTCTGCAATCTAAGCACCATCTTCTGCACAACCTTATCATTTTCCCAAACGATGTCACTTTCTTCAGCTAGGCAATTCTCTCGGCTCGGTTTCACCTTAGCTATTATGCTCCCGTTTGGGATGTCTGCCAACTCCATCTTCACAACTTCCATGAAACGTAAGATGTCAAATTCTGCATCGCCCATCTTATCATCCATACTGAATGTATCTTTGTCATACACTTGCTGCAATCATTTCCAAATTAAATAAACCATCAAATTATGGGATATATACATAATTCTAGATGAATTTGCTTAAATGGGCGATTCTAAAATTTTATACGACTTTTCTTTATTTAATTTATGAAATACCGCCTCCTACGTCCCATCCATTTCATGGGATATTTTCATTTGACGCCTCCTACGTCCCATCTATTTCATGCGATATTTTCATTTGACACCAGTGGTGGATACAGAAAATTTTGTTGTTGGGGGCACCACTTACCACTAACATACATATAGTGGCGTAACTACTCTAAAGCTCTAATGTAAGGGCATTCATGTGAATAGTCGTAAATTTGAGAACAATAAAAATTAAAGATACTTTGTATGTGCCAAGAATTAGTAAAATATAGCCCCAAATAAAAGCAAAATAATTCCAATAGGCAAAAACAGAACTATATCTTTATATTCTCAAAATAAGAGTAATTTATATTCACTTTATTATGCTACCTTATCAGTAAGAAAACCATGTTTTAATTTAGAATAAAATCATAAGAATAATAGAAAAAGACTTTTACATACAATAAAAATGTAAATAAACAAATGTAACATTTTCTCTGAAAATAACATGAGGATGATTGTATCTCTCACATACGGGAGTTCTCGGGTTTGAAACTCCATGAAGGGAGTTTCAGCCCTATTTACCTTAGGCTCTCTCAAACCCGTGACCCCCGGGTAAAAAAAAGAATGTACGGAGTATTACTTTTTGAAAATGTCAAGCTTTACTCTAAATCCGTCACCAAGAGTGGTAGTGTTCCAAGGTCGTTGAGACCCACATGTTTTGTTTATGTTTTTTATATTTGAGTTTTCACTATTTATGTTTTATTATTTTAAAAGAAAAAAAATCTTATTAACGTACGATAAGGGTATGACAGGAAGAGTTACTCTATTTCGGAAATTTAAAAATTATACTCTTATTTTTGCGATTTAGCTTATATTTACTCCTATTTAGAAAATTAGCCCGAACATTAAATAATACGTAGTACAAAATAACAAAAAAAAAATACTCACTCACCTTGTAGAAGCTAAGACTCCGTAATTGTTTTTGTTCTTGGCAAGAGAGCATCTTACTTTTTATTGGGGGCATTTCATTTTTTTATTGGGGGCACACCCAAATTATTTAATAAAAACATAATTTTTAAATTAAAAAGTAAGACTTTGTTTGGGGCATGTGCCCCCATTAAGTTGAATGAATGAATGTGTATCCGCCCCTGTTTGACACATTTATTAATAAAATGGTCCAAAAAGTGAAATTGTGATTGAGATTTGAGTATAACAAAATCAAGTGTTGTGGATCACATTTTTCTTTCTAAAAAAGGAAATATGATACTAATTTTGAGACAACCCAAAAAAGAAAGTATGACGAGTAAAATGTGACGAAGAGAGTATATTTTATTTTTCATTATTTCACAACCAAACATATTCACTAGACAGTTTCCATTTATAAGAACATAATCTTTAAATTATTCAACAAGGCTATCTTTTGTGAATCAAAATCACAAATCACAATCATAATATAATAAGAGCATATTCACTAGTATTATTTTCGAAAAGTAAATTAAATCTTCGTACTTAATAAACATTTAATCAAGCACCTCAACTTTAAAAAATGTTCAAATTAACCTTTCTTTCTTTCCCCTTCTTCTCCCCTGGATGAACGCTGACAAGTTTTTTTGTTTCAGGTCTTTCTTTCCCTACGGTACGCTCTTCTACGTAATTGAGCATTTTTAGATGTAGAGGATTTAGTTGAGTGTTTTCAGTCGATCGCAGAAGAGAAGCGTACTAGGTCGATTTTCTTTCTCTCTGTTGGGCGATGGTTATTTTCCAAATCTAGTTCTCGAGCTACGATCCTACGACACTGTTACTGCTAGAAATCTATGTTCCATGAATCGTTAATGCCTGGTTTGGTTCCTACAAATGACTTTTAAGTTGTTAATAGTTTGATTCTTAGTTGTTGGTAACCGTTCTACTTCCGGATCCTATAAAAAATATGTGTGTACACATTACTGTTATAAGGGATGAAAATCCATTGAGTTTCTAGTGTGAGATAAATCTTACTAGATTCCCATCTTTTTTTTTTCAATTTTTCTATTTCAACGAGTGAACTTACAGAATCAATTTCCCATTCACCCGTTATACGTTTTGAGTGTACCACATATCGAATTAAAGCTCTTCCAAGGAGAATCCGAAACCACTTTGACTCGATCCAAATTGGAAGTGGACCCCACTCAAAATACTCCCCAAAATAGACCATTTAATGCAATTTTATAACACATTTTCCCAACACACTCACATATATATATATATATATATAGAATAAAGATCAAATGAGAACAATGTTTAACGTGAGAACGTGGGAACACCACATTTACACCAACGTGTTTCACAATGAAGCTTGTATATTGCACTTTTTCACATTTTCACAATATTTACCAAAATGGCACTGTGTTTATTTAATATAGGCTTAATGCGAGCAAATTGAAAATGTGCAACAGAATAGCTCCATTGTGCACCAAATTGATTTAAATGTTAGTGTTCTCACGTTCTCACGTTAAGCATCGTTCTCACTGGGACCGCACTCTATGTGTGTGTGTATATATATGTATGTATATATATATATATATATATGTGTGTGTACACTTTGTATTTTTTTCTTTTTACTATGATTATGAACAACCGCCTCTACTATCACATAATAAAAAATTTAACATTCTATTTATAAATGACAATTGAAATCTTCTTTTACTCTGTTACCTGTATACTTAATCAAGTTTTGAGCTTTGATGATTGAAGTGATTAGAACTTCAGAATAATTTTTAATCTTTGTATTTTGAATTTTTGACATTTTTGTGTGGTAGAAAGGTAACTACTTCGTATATGTTAATTCCTAAATGTAAAACAATGATTTTAGGAGTAGTTAAACTTAAGAACCGAATCATTTAGTTTTAGTTCAGTTTCATAAAGATTCCTGATTTTTTATATAGAAATCGAACTAATTTCATAAATCAAGTTTTGCATAACGGTTCCAATATATTTGAGTAAAAAACCTACTCCCTAGACTAATTAGGATATTTTTACTTATACTGTTTTCAATCCCAAACCAGGTCAGACCAAACCAGACTTGGTCAATATTAAAATATACAGAGATCAGACATTTATCAAACCATATCAGACTAGTTCAGACCAGACCAAACCAGATCAAACAAGAACAAAAAATTCAATCCAATTAAAAAGCATCCTTAATATCCAAATCAACCCTGAAAGAGAACTTTTATGTAAGACTAATAAACTGAAAAAAGGCTACTCATTTAATTATTACTCTGTACTTCTTAGAGGGTTAATTCCAATCAGGCAACAAATAAGGTATTAAGGTTACATACCAATCTGATGGGGAGAGTTGGATCTGTAATAGACAGAGTCAAGTGTTCGTTCCACTCAGGATTCACGCTATTGTTCACCACTTTGGTCTTTAATTTCTGCGCCAAAGGATCCCATCAAACACAACAAAAAGCATCCACATTAACATTGGTACGAGTTCTTGGAGATATCAATTAATTAACATACATCTTTCTTAAAATAAGGTCTTTCTTAGTACAGAACAATAGGTTTTAAAAGAATATTAAGCTATCCTACATCATAACATCAACCAGAAAATATTAACTTTAAAGTTTTGGCTACTCATGGACCTTTTAGATTGCAATCCGAAGAATATATATTACCGGAGCTGTGCAATTAGATCCTGATAATCCTCAACAACGAGACAAGAGAACATATAAAGTTGACATGAGAGAAAGAAAAGTGAATGAAATAAAACCTGTTTCTTGCCCAAGCGAACCACAACGTAAGGGTCGCTGCTGCAGACATCTCTGATGGCCAAGTTTATACCTCTGTGAATATGAATCTTGAGAAGCCCCAACAAATTCTCCATTGACAAAGCTGCAGAACTGTCCTTCATTTACCAATACTAGCAGTTCTTTGAGACTAAATGCTTAATTGGGATATATGGTGGGGTGTGGCTGAGAGACAAGAGAGTAAAGGTTTTATATTGGTGAGTAACGTTTATTTATTAAAGGATTTAAAGCTATATAGTATGTACTCCCTCCGTTTCTTAAAGAGCTTCACATTTTGACTTTACATAGATTAATAAAATAAATTTGACTTTACTGTGGAGTGCATTGTTTGGCACTTTTTGGACACTGTTTTGCACTGTTTTGGTGTAGATAATTTGCCAAATAAGGAAATAAGAAGAAGTGTGAAGTTAATTTCGGAACTTCACGAACAGGAAAGTGCGAAGTTGTTGAGAACCGGGAGGGAGTATATACTTCGTACATAACAAGATTTTGGTTTAATTGTTACTTTGGACTGAGTTTAAATTTTACATAATTTAATTTAGTATACTTTGATTTGATGTGAATTTTATAATTACAAGCTGTGTTGTTGATTTAAGATGGTTGATCAATGATAAAGTAAACTCCTGCGCGATAAAATCTACTCCCTCTTGCTCAAATAGTTTTCGTCTCTCTTTTTTGGTGTCTCAAAAATAATTTTTCAATAACAAATAATATCAAAAGTGGCCTTACTTTTACTTTGAAGACATAAAGTAATTATTTGAATGTCAATTTTCCACTTTAACACTCATTAATTTTTATCTAAGTCAAAGTGATGAGTTGTTTTCAAAATTGAAAAAGTAGACTCCCGTATTATTTATTAAGATTATTTATATATTCTGAGGGTACATTAAATTAAACTTCCGATAAAATCATAAATTTATAACAATCATTTTTGTGTACACGTAGTTGTACTTATTTTACACGCAGCAGTTTTTTTGTTTTGGTAAGAGAATCGTTTTTCGCACACAATTTATCGGTGTCAACGGACAGATATATGTCACCAAGATATGTATTTCATTATTTCTAATTAAACGGAATGTAACCCACCAACTTATTACACCCTAAATTAAATGTCGCAACTTAAGTTGTTTATATTCATTAATTAATTGTTGCTTTACTATTGATTAATTAATTAACCAATGAATTCAGCGAAATAATTATTAAATGGGGAGACTTTCTGTTTTTCCGCGAAAACTACATCCCTCAGTAATGACGTTTTTTTATTAACGCGGAGAAATTTCAATAATCACGTTTGATCGTGACTCAAAATGAATTCGAAGTAGGCCAACACTACTAGCATTATGTTTAAGTTTTAGAGATATTACCCGAAATAGGACTAAAATAGTTTGAAAATTCCAAAATAGGACTGACATGTTTTTATTCTCAAAATAGGACTAGTTACTGTCATGTTTTTGCAGTACCAGACTTCAAACATGGCAATACTTTCTAAACATGACAGTAATTAGTCCTATTTTGAGAATAAAAAAAATGATAGTCCTATTTTGGAATTTTGAAACTGTTTTAGTCCTATTTCGGAAACTTTACCTAAGTTTTATTAAGACACATTCATTTTTAACGGATTATAATGTGCTAATTCATGAATCAGACAGGAATTCTAATCGGTACCCAAGTTTATAATTTAATTTAAATTTGAGAAATCATACAAGCTATTTCTCTCATATAGCCCGTTTGGTAATGTCTAAACGGCTGAGTATGTTTATTTGTCCAAATATTATTAATGAAAATATAAAAAAGTTATACCCTAAAAGTGAAATACAATACGAGCAAAGTAGTTTGTGCTTTGATGAAATCATCGTTGATCTCCCAAATAGGATAAAAACAAGAGAGAATTTCCTAAGGGTATGTTTGAGAATTTGGAGGGAAGGGGAGGGGAAGGCTTTGGAGGTATGTTGTTGGAGGGGAAAGGAAGAGGAGGGTGAGGAAGTCCTTCTTTGTATTTGGCAGTAATAAAATTGGAAGGAGAGGATTTTTGAAGAAATTATAATTAAAATCACTTTGAGATATGACGAATTCAAATCATTGAGCTGATATTCGTTTTTAATTTAGCTTAAATTATCATCTTGTTAATTATCCTTCAAAACCCTCCAAATTGGGGGAACTTAAAAATTAAGCATTTGGAGGGTTTTGAAGGGTTACAAAAACCCTCCAAAACCACCCTCCAATTTTTTAAACTCCCAAACATGAAAAGGAGGGTCATAAACCCTCATTAACCTTCACCTCCCCTCCAAAACCCAACTCCCAAACACACCCTAAATAGAAGTAAAGAAGTTTTGAAATTCCAAAACACGAGTATCATGTTTTTTATTCCTTGAATAGGATCAATTTTTTGCCAAGTTTGACATTACTCGACTTTAAAACATGTCATTACTAGAATTAAACTGAAGAAACAAATAAAGTAAATTGAGTTTCTTGACTCTTTGTATACCTCAAATTTTTGGTCGGGAAATACATTTTTTTTTTGCGATAAGTGGATATCTACTTTGATGATAATGGATCGGGATTGCTAGGCTTTAGGACTTTTTTCTGTCTTGTTTTTCATCCATTTTGACACGTTCCCACCGTCTTTCTCCATCCGTTTACACTTCAACAATCCCACTTTCTTGTTTTTTTTTGTGGCTTTCTTATATTTCTGGCAGGTTTCGCTTTTAATTAGGCCACAATTTTCAAACACTAAAGTTTATCTTGGCAAGAAGTGGTTGGCTTGAGAAACTCCATTTGTTCGTCAAGTTCAATCAAATAATCTTGTTTATTTCTTTTGTTCAAAAATAGCTTTTCCACTCTAAGTTGTCTTCCTAATTACGAAAAAATGTGGGTGCTTTTCATGAGAAAATGAAATACTTAGTACAAAGAAGAAAATGATATAAAGTTGTAGGGTGGAATCTATGTTGTTAAAACCGGACCGAGAGGTGATCCGGATCGGACAAATTACCGGCTCAAGGATCATTCCGAATCCGGGAGGGTCAGCCCGGTCAATGCAAGTCAACCCGGTCAACTATGGTTATATATGTGTGTGTGTAGGAGCGAGCATTCATGTGCGTCCGGCCGCACCAGAGGGGCCGTCCGGCCGACGGCTTTTGGTCACCTTCCCGGTCGAATTTTTTGATGAAATTTTTATGACATGTTCTTCATCATGTCTAGTTTATGCACAAAACGATTCAACTAAAAACTCAATTCGGAAGGTCGTCAAATGATTTTTGGAAGTTAACTGCATTTTTCTATGTATAGTTTTGCACAGTTAACTTCAAAAAATCATTTGACGACCTTCCGGATTGCGGTTTTAGCTGAATATTTTTGTGGATAATCTAGACTTGATGAAGAACATGCTATAAAAATTTTATCAAAAAATTCCAATGGAAAACGGCCAAAAGCCGTCGGCCGGACGGCGCTTCTTGTGCGACCGGACGCCGCACCAGAATGGGACTATATATATATATATATATATATAAGGAGCGGTTCCGGTAAGAACGTGCTCCTAGGAGAGAAATGAGAATGACTCTAGACCGTTGGATTGTATTATGCGGAACTGAAATGTGCATTGGGTGAAACTCAATTGTGCATTAGATGACATTGAAATGAGTAGAATAAAAATTTAAACTCAAGTGTGCATTAGATGAAACGGGAATGTGCGAAATAAAAGGTACAAAAATAACATCACATCGTACCTTTTATTCTGCACATTTCAGTTTAATTTCACCTAGTGCACATTTCAATTTCACTTAATGCATAATTCAGTTTAATTTCACCTAGTGCAGATTTCAATTTCACTCAATGCACAATTCAGCTTCACATAATGGCACTGTATCGTATCATTTGTGTTGCACATTTCAATTTCCCCTAATGCACATTACAGTTTCATCTAATGCACATTGAATTTCACTTAAAATAAATCTAACGGTCCAGATTCATTCTCATTTTTCTACTAAGATTATGTTCTTATAAGATCACTTAAAGGAGTCCCATTCTAGTGCGTCCGGCCGCATCACAGGGGACGGCTTTTGGCCGCTTTCCCGGTGGAATTGTTTGATGAAATTTTTATGCCATGTTCTTCATCAAGTTTAGTTTATCCACAAAAAAATTCAGCTAAAAACTCAATCCATAAGGTCTTCAAATGATTTTTTGAAGTTAACTGTGCAAAATTACACACAAAAAACGCAGTCAACTTCAAAAAATCATTTGACGACCTTCTGGATTGAGTTTTTAGCTGTTTTTTTTTGTGGATAAACTAGACTCGATGAAGAACATGCCATACAAATTTCATAAAAAAATTCCACCGGGAATGCGGCCAAACGCTGTCGGGCGGACGGAGGGTCTGGTGTGGCCGTCCGCACATGAAAACTCATCTATATTAAATGCACATTATATATATATATATATATATATATATATACACATATACATATACATTATATATACATATACATATATGTGTGTGTGTAATATTTATATATATATATATAATATTATATATATATAGAATAAGGATCAAACGAGAAGAGTGTTTATCGTAAGAAGTGAGAATGCTTCTGCTGCGTTCATTTTAAGATCTGTGCATCAGATTAGCAAACAAGTGCACGAAAAAGTATAAAAAATATTTAAAAAAGTGATGCTAGACGCGGTGGCATTCCCGTAATTAATCGGAACTTTTCTGGCATCGCAAAAAGTGCATCAGATTAGCAAAAAAGTGCATCAGGAATAGGTAAATGTGTAACTTCTCACTTCTCACGTTAAGATGTCTTCTCATCATTAGAACTCGACCATATATATATGTGTGTGTGTGTGTGTGTGATATTATATACCAAATTGAAGTTACATGGTAAAAGTTACTCTCATTCGAGATTTAATTATGATAATCAGAATAGAAAATGAAAACAAGGTATCGAAACATTAGGTTATTTCACAGAGTTTAAAATGTATTCTAGGTTTGATGGATAATATGTGAACATAATGCTATGAAAAATTAAACAGATGGATAATATATTTGTTAGGCATTTTTCTAATTGTATAAAACATAATTGAAGTTGAAACTTATTGTGATTATTATGATGTTTTTATTTGGACTGAAATTTTCTGGTTTGGTCTGATCTATCTTGATCTGATAAATGTTTGATCTCAGGGGCGGA